CCCCCGGGCTGTTGTGCCTGCAGGCAGGGGTGCAGCCCTGTGTTGCTCTGCCTCCCACAGACCTCAGGCAGATGGGCAGTTGCATCACTGTTGGGTTTGTTCAGTCTCTGCAAACTGAAAGCCAAAAATTGACCTGATTTTTCCATGAAAGTGGGTTTCTATTGATTGTGTGTGCAGCTGGGCCACACCGCAGAGTGTGCTCAGTACCGGGGGGGGGGTCTCTCCCAGCCCCAGTGAGAAGTTTGGCCCCTATGCCTGTAGTGTGGGCCCCAGGGGATCCTGGCAGGGCAGACCTTGCGAGATGGGACAGTGCGGCTGGCTCGCAAAAGGGCTGCGGTTTTGCTGGTACACTGCTGCATGGAGCAGCTGCTCCTGCTGTCTCCTGGGGTGTGCTGGTGCCTCTGAGCCACGGCGCCAAGTTTGAGAGGAGGGTTCACGGTCCTGGCAAACATGGCTGCAGTAACTGCTTCACCCCCTTGCTGCACCACGGCTGGGGGCAGAGAGGTCCTGCCAGGCGGCCCTGTGAGGTGAGGGGGGCACAGCAGCTGCCCAGATCCATGCTGGTGGCCCTTGTCTCTGCCCCATCTGCAGCTGTGCTCTGGGGGGCTGCTGGGACAGCATGTCCCTTCCCTGCCCGTGGCACTGTGCCACCCACAGCCAGGTGCTCTTCAGGCCAGGCGTTGTCTTTGGCAGGGCAGCGGGGTCAGCGCAGGTCCCAGGCCAGCGGTTTATGCAAGAGTGCATAAACAGTGCTTCCTGCCTGTCTGCCCCGCGGCACCACGGTAAGCCCATGGTGACAAGGGCCCTTTGTCAGCTCCTCTCCCCAGCACCATATGTCACAGGGCCAGGTGCAGTGGCGCCTCACCTGCCCTGGCATAGCTGCCGGTGCCCAAAGGAGGCATCGGAAGATAAGGTGCGTGGGTGGGGCAGGCAGCCTGCCTACCAGCCCACCTCCCACCACTGGGCCTGCCCCCATCCACATATCCTCTATATAACTCCGTGGGGCATGGCCAGCTCTGCTGTGCAACCAAGGGCCGGCCTGGGCTGGACGGCTGCAGGAACAACTTCCAAGCACGCTGAGGTGGCGTTGGGGTGAGTGCTGCCTGTGCACGGTGTGCCAGGCCCCCCAGCAGGACCGTGGCCCTGAGGGTGGGCCTGGGGTACCACAGCCCCTGTGGCCGGTGGTTCCTGGTGCAGCTCTTTGGGCTGGCTCCTGGGGTCTGCCCAGCTTGAGTCCCTGCAGAACCAACCCAGTTAGCACAGAAACCTGCCCTGTGCCAGATTTTCTGGGCTGTTCTCAGCATTTCAGTTACCAAGGTGACTGTTTCCTGTGCGATTGCTAATGCTTCACGATCTCGATTATGATATCCGAGTGACTTCCTTTCCTCTGTAAGGAGCACTAGGACCTGCTCCTGCTTGGGGCTGCCAGAGCCATTGCAGGTGCGGAGGATTCAGGTTTGGGTTCAGGTCAGTTTGGGTTCCGCTGCTTTTGTGTTGCTTGTGACACAGTGGATTGTTTTTACAAATGACTGAAGTCCTTTCACTTCTCACCTTTTCTCCTTGGTGAAAGTCTCTCTCCTGAAACAGGGCTAATGGATTTTCCTTGTGTTACTGCTTTCCAGACAGTTTCTCTCTCAGGCTGCTGCACACTGACCTGGGGCCACAGCCCCATGGTACGGACCTCATGGGAAGGCTGGTGTTATTCCCATAGCCTGGCTGGGGAGCTCTCTTCTCCGGGGGCTGCCAGGGCTGAAACAGGCTGGTCTGACTGGGCTCATGTCTCACCAGCCCCATGTCGAAGCACAACCCACCACCTGCTGCACCAGGCGGGAGATGGGGGTGTCTTCTGTGTGCCCTTTGCTGCAGGTGCCCTCG